CCCAGAGCTGGGCTGCTGTGTGTGTGGGGTGGGAGGTTCAGTGAGGGGCTCAGAAGGAGGGCAGTGGGTGGCTGCCATGCAGGGGGAGGTTTCTTCATCTTCCCTGGAGCACCAGGCCCAGGTGGGTGAGCTCAGGGTGCCCCCTCGGCTGTGCTCCAGCCATGGCACCAGTCCCTTCAGCCAGGCACGTGCTCCTGTGTCTTTGCTGACCCCCCTTCTTGCCCGCCATGCTGCCATGGCCCGAGGAGACGTCGGTGGCAGGTAAAGGCCCACGGGCCGAGCCCCGTGGTGCTGCATGCTCTGCTCTGCATGGCTGCTCCTGCATGGCTGCTGCTCGTGTGCCGCTGGGCTGGGCAGGACGGCAAGGGTCACCAGGGCACGCTGGGGTTGGTGGCCTGTCCTGTCTGCAGGGGGACAGGATAATTCCCCATAATGTGGGGAATACCAGCACCATTGTCCTGCGGGTGAGAAGCTGCTGGCACTGAGAATAGAGGGGTGCCGTGCAGGCAGCAGGGCTGGCAGCTCTGCTCTGCCCCAGGCATGGCACAGGTAAGGAAGAAGCAGCAGCAGTTTTACTCAAGATAGGGAGCAGTTGGTGGGGCTCAGTGCTCAGCACCCCTGGGCCCCAAGGTTTGTCCTCCCTGTGCTCTCCAGCATTAGGTTGAGAAACAGGCATTGCAGAGTTGCTGGCTGTGAGCCCGTGGCCTCAGTTCCCTCCATGCCATGCAGGAGGACACGGGGCTTCAAACTTCCCACTCCTGCCACTCTGTCCAGCTGCTGCAGGACACGGCTGTTTCCCTGCCCAGTCAGGATGGGGCCAAAGGAGGTGAACAAGGCTGGAGGAGCTCACCCCAACCCGAGTCCCCACACCCACAGGAGCTCCCCCCTCCCAGCCTATCCCTGCAGCAGGGTCAGAGCAGGGCAGGGGTCTGGCCCTGCTCCGGACCCTCCCACCTTCAGTGTGGATCAGAGCAGTGGTCCCTGGTCCCTGCACGTGCATGGTTTCGTGAGCAGCCCTCATGGTGCTACTGGTGCTGTCCTCGCTCCCTGCCGGCTGTTTCAGCAGCATGTGTGTGGTGCTGGTGTAGGTCCTGTTGTGGCTTTGGTGTCACCTGAGATATTGGACAGGTCAGCGCCAGGACCGGGCTGGGAACTCCCTGATCCCTCCCCTTTGCTTGTTTCCCTGCTGGGACGTGCAGAGAGATCCTCTGGGATGGGGCATGCAGTGAGAACAGCCCAGGAAACACCCAGTGCCCACAGGCAGCTGATGGTGCTTCTCTCCATGCAGGGCTGCTGGGCAGGGCAGCATCCACCCGGAGCCAGGGAGCAGCAGAGCAGGAAGGAGCTCACGTCTGCGTGCGCGTGGGCGCGTGGGCTGTGTCCTCCTCCTGCAGGGAGAAATGATTGACCGCATCGAGTACAACGTGGAGCACTCGGTGGACTATGTGGAGCGGGCTGTGTCCGACACCAAAAAAGCGGTGAAGTACCAGAGCAAAGCCAGACGGGTGAGTCACGGCCCTGGCTGGGCCCATCTGCCCCTGCCTGCACTGCTGACACCTCCCTCCCAGGCACAGGGCCCGGCTGGCACCTTGCCTTGCCCCAGGCAGCCTGGCACAGCTTTGCAGGTGCCTGGGGCCTGCGTTACCCCAGGCCCCTGGGAGCAGCCCAGGTCCCCAGGCTTGCACAGCTGAGGCAGAGCTCCCAGCACAGACTGTGTGAAAGCTGACACTGAGCCATAGGGCAGGGGTGCTGCTTGGGGGGAGGAAAAGGGACAAGGTCACCCCTGGACCAGGCATGCTCTGAGAGCCACATCCCTTGCAAACAAATACAGGGAAAGGCCATGGTTCAGCTCAGACTCTGAGCACAGATGTCTGTCCTGCTCCCAACACCTGGTCCTGTATCAGCTAGGGGATGTAAAGGCCACCAGCTCAGCTCTGTCAGCCTGGGGCAGGAGCAGGGGTGTCCCTCCCTGCCCAGGACTGCCAGAGCCCTTCTGGCTCCCAAGCTGCTGCTCAGAGCCCACCATGGGCAAGGGGAACGGGAGGAAATGTTCTGAACTCCTGGGTCCATCCTGCCCCAACACTCACCATCCCCTCTCCCCTCTCTCCCTGCCTCCACTGGGACACCTGAGCAGAAGAAGATCATGATCATAATCTGCTGTGTGATCCTGGGCATCGTCATCGCCTCCACCTTCGGCGGCATTTTCGGCTAGACTCACCCCACAGGACTGTTTGTGTGCGATGGATGGAGCCGCGCGTGCCATGGGGCTGCAGCCACACCGGAGCAACCCACGCAGCCCCGGAGCCTCCCAGCAGCATTTCAGTTTCTAATGCATGGTTGTTTGTGACGCTGTGTGTGCGGTGCGGTGCGTCTGTGTGGAGGGAGCTCCAGCCCCGGGGCGCAGGCGGGGGGCAAGCGATGGTGATGGGCGCAAGGGGGACCCTGGGGGGGAAACCCGAGCTCTCATCACTGCTCCAGGCTGGGTGGCTGGCTGGGACCAGGAGGGAGACACAAGTGACTTTGGGCACTGCTGCTCATCCTGTGATGGGCGGTGTTAGTGACAGCTGAGGAGGAGGGACCGCTGGTGGGTGTTAGGGGTCCTTGGGAGTACGGTGCCCAGTCAACCTCCCCAGCTTGCCCATCACCTCCAACTCTCATGTCTGTCAGCCGCATCTGTGCTTGCAAACACCTTCCCTCGGGCTGCTTCTCTTCGGGGCCCTTCCCCAGGGGTGCGCTCTGCCCAGCCCTGCCTGGCCAGTGACTGTGTCTGGCTCTGGGGCTCCATCCCTGCCACTCCTCCGGTGGCAGGGCTGTCCCCTCCCTCCATGAGCCCTCACCCCAGCAGGATGCCAAAGGCTGGATGTGCCACTGCAGCTGGTGGGTGCCTGATGGAGCACTGTGGAATAAGGGGCTGCTGCTTGGGGCCATCACAGTTGCCTGGGGACAGGAATAGGGCACGTGAGGGCTAGTGCTGCTCCTGGGTGCTGGCCTGACTGGGCAGGATGGCATGGATAGTCTGAGGCCAGTGAATTTGCTGCTCATGCTGCACCACACCCTCATTGCAGTGCTCTCAGCCCTGGCACACGGTGGTCCTGGCTCCTGTTGCCCACAGGCCAGGACTCTGCCCACCAGGGTTTGGGGCTGTTGCTGATGTCCACAGCCCCTGGCAGCACCCACCTGCAAGCAGGGCTGCTCCAGCCTTGCTTTTTCACACCCATGGCCGGGGGTTAGAAGCAGCTGGGCTTTCTCCTGTTGTGGTCCCAGGAGCAGCCCTTGCTGCATCCAGCCCCCTGCAGGTGAGGAAGAGGAGCCTTCCTCCTCCTCCTCCTCCTCCTGTACCCAGTCTGGTTGTGAACAGGCCAGTGCCTGACTGCCTGTTTGCCACCTCCTGGCATCCTGCTGCTCCTGGCACCTGCCCTTCTGCCCAGCCATCCAGTGAGGCACCTGCTCTCAGAGGGGTGCTGTGGGACAACCTGGGGGTCCTATGCTGTGCCCACAACACAGATGCAGCTGCTGTGGGGCCCAAGCCCATTGGCAGCTCAGGGGAGTCATTGCTTGTTTCCCTCAGGCTAGGGACAGGGCTCTGCCCTCACCTTCCTCTGGAGACCCCAGGGCTCTGGCTGGCCTGTGCACATGCCACAGCACCACAGAGGAGTCCCAAGGCAGGCTGGGCTCGCTGCCACACTGGGACAGGGGCTGGCTGGCAGGTGCTGGTAGCAGAAAAGGGACCCTGGATGGCAGCCAGTATTCCAGCCTCGGGCAGCATCACCTCCCAGCTCCCACCAGCACCAGGGCAGGTGCTGTGGCTCAGGCACTGGCTGTGTGGTGCCCCTGGGTGCAGGGGAAAGGCAGTGGCTGCAGCCCCAGAGTGCTGCCTCCCCCAGGGCCAGCCCTGCCCAGCAGCAGCCCTGACACAGCTTCTCCTCTGCCACTGTTACCCGAGGTCCCCCCCACAGCCCCTTGTTGCATGCAGCTGCCCTTGGGAAGTGGGTCCAGCCTGGTTCCCCACACTGCCCAGCCCAAGCCCCTCAGGGTGCAGCCACGGGAACACCCCAGAGCAGAGCCCCCTTCTTTCACAGTCCCACACCGAGCCACGTGAGCTCCAGCACTGCAGCCTGCGTGCACTGAAGGGCTTGGGGCACCAGGACCGTGCAGGCAGGGGTGGGAGGCAGGCAAGGGCAGGGTCTCTGCTCCAGGGGGACACGTCTGGCTGCAGGAAAAGGGAGTAGCCATGCTTCTGTCCCTCAGCAGCTCCCTGCCACTGCCATCCACGCTTGCTCTGCCAGGCCAGCAAGAGCCCCGGGGCCCCTCCAGGAAGCAATAACACTGGGCAGGCAGGAAAACCCTCCTGCCAGGCTCCTGCCCTGCAGCCATGCTCCTGCCCTGCAGCCATGCCCACTGCTAGCACAAGGTGACTTCTTTTTCTTCCAGGCAGCGGCTTTAGTGGCACAAGCTCACCTGACATCAGGGCTGTGGCACCCTGTCAAGGCACAAGGCCAGGAACTGCACTGGGGGGAATTCTTGGCCCTTGCTCCTTGTTGGCACCACCACTGCCAGCAGCCCCCACAGCAGCACGAGTCGGACGGGGCCAGTCAGGGCCACTGGCACTTTGCTGGGTGGATCCTGTGGGCAGCAGCAGCGCTGGGCTCCAAAGCAAGGGAGATGAGGAACAGCTGCCCCACAGGCAGGCTCACACTGTCCTCGCTGTGAGGGGAGGGTGTTTTGGTGCAATAATTACCCCTGCACTACGGGAAGCCCCATTGAGTTCCTTTTCACCTACCTGTCGTTGCATGTACAGACCAAATCACCAAGTGTGGTTGTGCTTTGGGAAGACGTTTCACCTTTTCTTTCCAGCCCCCCCAACCTGCACCCGCTTGTCCTTTGGGTTCCACCACCTCTGTTCCAAGTGCCACCCGCCCTCCCCACGCCGGGAGCGTGTTGATGCAGTATTCCATGAGCAGTGTGGGGCACGCACAGCTTGCACTCGAACTGGGGATTGGTTTTTTTTTTTTTGTAATTAATGTACTTGAAGGCTTTCCGAGCCCCCCGTGGAGTTCTACTGTTGCTGTACTGTGAGCTAAGTGTCCTTGTTTTCTATGTGGATCTTGACCCTGGCTTGCTCTGTCTCACTGGGCTGGATGACACTGTATGTTGCCTCTCTTCTCCTTCCCTCTTTCCCTCCCTGCTAGCATTCCTTTCTTCTCCCAAGGCTTTGGGTGCAAAACAGCTTCCCATTTTGTGGAATTTTTATGTAGAATAAACATTTGTAACTGTAAAGCTCTGGGTGGCACTTCTCATTGTTTCGAGGGAAGGGAAGAGGTGATGGGGGGGTCCAGTCAGCCCCAATACCCTGGAAGGACTAAAGCAAACAGTATGGACTTGGTGCCAAGCACCAACAGGAGTAACTGGAATAACACCTGTGCCAGGAGCAACTTTGTCCTCATAGATCTACACCTTGACAGTGTGGATCCTCTGCAGGCAGAGGGGAAGCTGGCAGGGCACGAGGTACCATGCTCCCACCTCAGTACTCCCAGCACGGAGGGCAGGACGCAGGAGACCAGCAAACACTTCCAACTCTTTGACTCTTTAGTGAGGAACTGGATATCATGGCCTGGCTCACCTGGAGCTCAGCTGGCTCACTGCACTAGGGAAGGGTAAGTGATGGCACTGCAGACACCCAAGTGGCCAGAGCACTGTCTGCACCTTCACCAGGGAAACAGGGCTGGAAGCTGCGCTGTTTGGCAGCACCTGAGCCAGTTTGTACTTTCAAAGGCCACAATGACCAGTCCCAGCAAGTCCCAGGCATGGGGTGCCACCTCTGCCATCCACAGGAGGCTTGCTGGAGGCACCCACATGCCACTGTCCATGCCAGCAGTGCCCAGAGCCATTCAGAAGTGAGGACGGCGCTTCCGACCCGTGTATTTCGTGTCTGCTCGCACCTCCCTGTGGGAAAAGCAGGGAACAGCTCAGCACCACCTGCAGGTCACTTGGGCAGGCCAAGGGAGCAGGTTTGTGGCAGTTTAGACAGGTGACAGCAGGCCAGTCCAGCCTCTGAGGCAGGACTCAGCTGAACTCACTTGCCCTGGCGCCGTCTACGCTCCTTCTTCTCCAGGATCCAGTCCCGGCTTTTCTTCACAGACTTGCCCTTGACATTCCTGAACCGTGTCCTGTGGGGAAAGTGGACAGCAGATGGAGAGGAGCTGAGGTGTGGGGGCACAATTCTGTCCTGGAGGATTTTCACCCTGAACTGGATCACAAAAGCAGTGAGTTTCCCTCCCACCACCCCTGGGCAAGAGGCTTGCATTGGGGCAGGTGTCCAAACTCCAGACACACTGGAGAGGGAGGCTGATTCCAGCCCTGGCTCAGAGCTGAGGGATCCTGACCTGTGAACATGCCACAGGTTCTGATCACATGCTGCCACACCAGCAGCATGCTGCACTCTGGGATCTCAGGGGATTACAGGCTCAGGCACAACCACCTTCCCCTTGTCTCCTCTACTCCAAACAAGGCAGTCAGGCTTCCTAAAAAGTTCCCAGCTCTGCTACTGCCCTCCAAGACCAGATGCTCCTTAGACTAAGTGAGCAGAGAACAGCAATGTAAGAGGCAGGAAAACATGTCAGCCACAAGCTCCTGGCAGCCACGACGACTCTCCTCTGCTTTTTATTTTGTCTCTCCCACTGGCTGCAAGAGGGGCTCCTCCCTGCACCACTGCTGTGGGAAGAGACCAGCAGCAGAAATCCCCAGGCCACAGCAAAGCAGAGCTGAGCAAAGACTTGGGCAGGAGGAGGAAGATGTGAGGACTCAGGCACAGCAGCCTGCCTCCACAAGCCCTGTAAACATTCCTTCTCCAACACCACTGGCCTCAGCTGGAGAGCCTAGTGCTGGACAGAAAGCTCTAGGGTAAGCACCTACAGCCCCGTGGAAGAACCCTGGGAACTCACTAGTTTTGTTCCCTATGATCAGGCTCTTGGGAAGATAAAGCAGCTATCTCCTGGGCTGCTGTGAGTCCTGTCCTTCCCCTCCCATTGCTTCTCACACAGCAGCAGTGTGGTCCCCAGTAAAACTCAGCCCTCAAAGCCCCCCAGTGCTTGTTGGGGAGAACCTGCAGCCTCACCACCACACGATACCTCTCATTGGTGAACTTTGCCTGGTGCAGCTCTTCATTGGCACACTCGGTACCAAGGGCCTGGAAAGCAAAATTGGGAAGTTGTGTTCTCCTCTGGACCAAGCACAGCTTTAGTCAGCCCATCAAAACTAAGGGGAATGCAGGGATCTGCAAGGGGAAGGAAGAGCAGGAACAAAATGGTCTTCCAAAAATCATGGCAAAAAAAAAAGCAGATGTCAGAAGAATGGCTTTAAACGGGGAAGGGTTAGATTGGATATTGGAAGAAATTCTCCCCTGTGGGGGTGGTGAGGCCCTGACACAGGTTACCCAGAGAAGCTGTGGATGCACCATCCCTGTAAGTTGATGCAGGTTGGACAGGGCTTGGAGCAACCTGGTGTCTCCACCTATGGCAGGGGGGTGGAACAAGATGAGCTTTAAGCTCCCTTCCAACCCAAACCAGCCTGTGATTATAAGAGAGCAGGGCTTGGGTGACTGGCAGAGAATGTATCAATGAAGTCACACCTGCACTCACAGTGCTCCCACACTGCCCACAGCTCTCCCATATCATCCAGCACCAGAAGAGCAGTTCTGCTGCCTCATGGACACCCTCACCTTTGGTAATGTGCCAGAGGTCCCAACAAAGAGACAAAGGAAGAACCTGAAAGAACAAGAAAAAGGAGCACAAACGTGGGATGCAGCGAGTCTCAGCCTCCAGGCAAGACTGAGATGGTTTATAACAGAGTCAGATCTAAGCTTTACCAGGACTGTATAATGCAAGAGAGAACAGCTCAGGGGGAAAGACAAAAAACATGGGGGAAAGAAAAAGAAAAATCACTGCTAAACCCAGGCTTCACCCCAAACACACACAGGGATCCAGGACTCACTTCTTGGCTTTGGCGCTGTTGGGGTAATCAACCACCATTCCCCCAGTAAATCCAGCTCTCATGGCTTGGGCTGTGATGAGCTCCAGCTGGAAAAGCAGCAGGTGCAAGGTTCATTATTAGCAAGGTTAATTAGCAGTCATTCCCCAGGAAAGCCCAAGGACCACACCTGGTTGGGCATTCCCAGGACAGGCTGCTCCTCCTCCTCCTAAGCTCTGCACCTGTCTCCTGGTTCTGCAGTACCAGAGACACCAATTCCCTGCCTGTGTTGGTTCTCCCTGCTCCTCAGTCTAGCCTGGCTGAGCTGGCAGAGTGGACTCCAGGAGAGGGATGCTGGGCTGGATTTTCCAGACCTGAGTTAAAGTGCAGTGCTGATGACTACAGCCAGTCTTCAAACCCACATTCACATTGTGTCCTGCCACTTTAATTTTAAGACTCAGCCCAAGACAATGTATGAAACAACAGAAATTGGACAAGGTATCCTCCTTACACGTTACTTTTTTGTCTCTTGAAGAGCTTTACAAGTAGCAAGCAGGACAGGGACACAGACTTGATGTGGAAGAACATAATGCATTCACACCCCAAACAGTGAATGATTTCTCTGCCTGTAGCCCTTCCCAAGTGATTGATGGGCTGTACCTGCTCTGAGTTCTCGGGGTACAACTGCAGCACAGCTCGGGATCCTCGGGCCTGCAGGAAATAAAGCTGCTCACACACCTGTCTCAGTGCAGGTAACCCCTCTGGGTCACCCCATCCCAGACACGAGCTGCCTCCCACCCAAAACCTCCAGGACAAGGCTCCCAGGAGAGCTGCTCAGCCAGTGAGGCACAGGGGGAACACCAGGTAGCACAGAATCATGGAATTGTTAAGTTTGGAAAAGACCACCAAGTCCAACCTTGGTGAGAAGCAGCACCAGGCAAGAAGGCAAGCACTGGGTGCTCCTGCCAGTCCCACTTCACAGCAGCACTTACTTAAACCAACCAAGAAACATCTTGCTAAAAAGCACCAGCAAAGACATAAGAGCAGCAGAGACCTGGCTGGTAGAGGGTGGCACTTACCAGGGCAGTGTAAAGAGTGGAGAAGAATCTGTAGAGGCGTTTGGGGGGGCTGTGTGATTTCTTGTCAGCGTTACAGAGCCACTGCACTGCAGAAATGCTGAGAAGGAAAATAAGACCCCCACAGGACACAGAGTTATTGGTTCCTTCACAAAGCTTGCCACCTCCCTTTGAGCTGAATTCCTGCATTAGGCATGTGCTGGGCCTCAGGGAAATTATTTTATTTCCTCTGTGCTGCTTTGCCTTCTGTTTCGCAGTTACACAAACCCCTCTGGAGACTCACTGTGCCAAAACTTAACACAATGCATCAGTTAAAGGACAAAAGCATCACCAAGCATCCCTTTAGTCCAAGTGCTCAAACAGAATGATAGAATGCTTTGGGTTGGAAGGGACCTTGGAGCTCAGCTTGTTCCAGCCCCTGCCATGGGCAGGAACACCTCCCACTATCCCAGGTTGCTCTAAGCCCTGGCCTTGGACACTTCCAGGCCTGGTGCATCCACAGCTGCTCTGGGCAATCTGCCAGGGCCTCACCACCCTCACAGGGAAGAATTTCTTCTGTGTATCCCACCTAAATTTTCCCCCTTTCATCTTGAACCCATTACTCCCAGTCCAATCATTACAGTTCCTGAAGAGCATCAGAGAGCTCAGCTGTGTCCCCTGCCTGGTTTTCCCAATAAATAATCTAAACCAGCTCCCAACTTCTTCCCAACTGTTCTCTAAGCAGATAAATCCTTCTGTCCCCTTCATCCCAAAACCAACCATCAAATCCTTGATCCAGGGACAGACTTTTCTAAGCAATGCCACATACTTTGTTCTCCTCCTTGGTGCAGGTCTCAGCCATCCTGACAATATTCCCAGTTTTACTTTATTTTCTTCAATAATATTCCTAGCTCACCAGCACAAAAGGACAAGCATCACTTGGCAAACAGCTTTCACAAGCTGTTTCTACCATCCAGAATCCTGGAGGTTTGCCCTGGAGTGATGGAGCTGAGTTGCACAGAGCAAAGTGGTTTACCAGATGTGTATCATGTGTACTGTGCTGTTCTGTGCATCAGGAGAGCTCAGCTCCATGCACAGACTCACCTGATACAGCCATCAAACATGCCAGGCCTGAAGGGAATGCCGTGACCCACATCTGCAAGGAGGAGGTCTCCTTCCACCTCCCGCTCCACAGCCACATCTGCACACAACAGAGCACAGCTCAGGCAATCAGCTCCCACCTTTGGGGCCTCTGAGGGTCCCAGGGGAGGCTGTGCTCACCCAGCATGGCAGGGCTGATGTCCATGCCGATCCAGTAGTGACCCTCCTCAGAGATGTAATCCCCACTCAGCCCTGAGCCGCAGCTGAAAGGAGGAAGGGGGAAAGCACTGGGGTGATGGGGCTGGTCTGAGGCTGCTGCTGGCCAGATACACCCAACTTTACAGCAGCCTGTCGCTCTTCTTCAGCCCACATTAGACATTAGTGCTGTGGGAGCCCCCTTGCCCTGTGCACCCCTGATGCTCCATGTGCCATGGCACCGGGCAGAGCCCCGCTCACCCCACGTCCAGGAGGAGGCACGCACGGTCCTCGGGCAGCCCCAGCAGCTCCACAGCACGCTCCGACATCTGCGACTGGATCTCCACCACCCGCGAGCTGAGGCACAGGCAGAGCGCGGGCGATGTGCGGCTGCCC